TACTTGTACTTGTTGAAACGCATGCATGCAGGTGTAGGCATGGGTACTTTCATGTGGTAAACAATGACTATACTCATTGGCTGATGTATGCGATTGGAGGCAGTGCTAACCCCACAATCAATAGTCAAGGAAACCGATACCTTGCCCCTAATAACGATTTTGCCAAAGAGGTTCGTCATAAGTCCTGTGACTACGTATTACATTCTTTTTTAGCTTGCCTCTTGCATGAAATTAACCGATATGAGACTCGGTATAAATAGGCCAAACTAATATATAGGAAAATTGTCCTAAATAGGAGTAAAAATGATTGTGTATTTCAAAATAGGACTTTCATATTTTTATTCTCAGTAACTATTGATACTCCCTCCGGTTCTTATTAAAGTTATCACTTTCCTTTTTGAGATGTCCCTTATATAAGTTCACACTTCCATTTTAGGAAACAAAACAATGCAAAACAGTGTCAAACAGTGTCAAACAGTGCCAAACAGTGCACTCCACAGTAAAGTCAAATTCATTTTCTTAATATGTGTGAAGTCAAACTGGGAACTTTAATAAGAACCGGAGGGAGTATGTTTTAGCACTAACAGACTTTAAAAACATGATAATATTTTTAACACATGGCAATAATTACTCATATTTAGGGAATACAAACATGACATGCAGACATGCAATCCTATTTTGAAATTTTCAAACGTTTTTATTTCTATTTCGAGAATTTCCCCTAAAATATAAGCAATGCGTACAAATACGATCGCCGTTGTTTTCTTCCTAATATAGGACTCATTCACTCCTAATTGAGAAAGTTTTGTACCTTTAATATGATCAAATAAGTCCTATCTAAGGAATAAAACATAACTAATCCTATTTGTGAACATTGCTTATATTTTAATCCTATTTGAAGCAATTTTTTAAAAGAAGGAACTATACATTTCAACCTTTATTATTGGCATGCGTATGTAAATTTCTGATCAAATAAAAATAAGTCTTGATGTAAAAGATGCGAATGATTTCCGTACGTTAGATTTGAGAGGCTCTAAAACAATACTCCGCAAAAATGCACTCTACACCTTTTTTCACGTTACACACCTTTTTTAATTGAACCATAACTTGTTTATACATGTACTTCTCGTCCCCGATTAAGTTACGAGATGAATTTCACACATATTAAGAAACTTATATTATTGGGTGGTAAACTTTACTTTTTTGACATTATTTGGCACTATTTGGACACTGTTTTGTACTGTATGGACACTATTTTGCACTATTTGACACTGCTTTGATGTAGATAATTTGACAAATATGGAAAGTAAGAAAGTGTGAACTTAATTTAGGAACTATCCAAAAAAGAAAGTGGTAACTTAATTGCAGGATATTAGCATGTACTTGTACTATATAGGTATATATTATTAATATATAATTAGGGGGTTTTTAGGTGACTAAAAGAGTGGACCAAGGAGAAGCGGAGTGGCAGAGATGGAACTGGAGATCACAGGGAGACATAATGCTTAATGGAGCACTGTTCGTCTCTACCGGGGCAAAATCGTCATCCTCATATGCAAGGGCGTCTAGTACCACGGTAAAATCAAGTTCACTGGTGGGTCCCATGACCTCTTCTGCTGGTGCTCTTCCCTGTAGAAAAGGAAGGCGTTGTTAAATTAAAGTAAAAATACACTTCATCTTCGATCGTAGTTTGTAATTTATATATAACCTAGAGGTTGGCTAGAGACCGTCTCTGGCCTGGTTAACCCTCCTCTCTGGCTCGTCCCTCCAGCTGACCGGGACGCGTCTCATTTTACCGGCGCGCACAACAACAACTCAGATTGTTTTCTTCTTCTTGCTCGTGTGATGATGGATGATAATTAAGACTCTTTATGCATGCAGTAATCTTAATTACCGGATTAATTAATTAATATAATCGTTTGTGTTAACTTTGTTTTTTTAGTGGGTATGGATTGTGCAGTGGAAGTAATACACTACCGTCACCACCCCGAACCATGGACACGTCTGGCCCTTTAATTTAATTTTTTTCTCTGCTGAAAAATGCTTTGAATGTATCCTTACCATTGTCATAAAGACTGAGAGCATGTTTGGTAACACCGAAATCGGCTTATTCTGCTAAAATTTATTAAATTCTGACTGAAGTGTTTGTATTGGCTGATTCAGTTGATTTATGAAGAGAAAAAATACCACCTCCGTACTCTTTTATTTGCAACATTGGTGATTTCAGGGCCGGTTCTGAAGGTGGCAAGAGGGGCGACCGCCCTAGGCCCGAAAAAAATAGAGGAAAAAATAGGCCCAAATTTTTTCTTTATATATAGTGTGAGTAGACTTCTTTTTTTATTCTTAAGTTCGATTAATTAGGCCTAATAATGATTAATTTTGTTGACAATTTGTCTCTTTAAAAACCTTCATTCTTCTGAGAGTTAATTGACTACATTTTATTTATTAATGTATTATACATAAATTTTTGAAAACTATTCTTAAATTCCTCTCATTTTGAATTTTCAAAATCTGAATTTTTATTTGTTTTACGAATAAAGAACGAAAGATATTAATAGTCAAACTTGTGTGTTCGCAAACGTGAAAAGTGGACCGTTGCAATTTAAAAGAATGGAGGAAGTATATTATATTAATAAATAAAGAAAAAAATGAAATATAGCTAAAATGTTTATCCACAGTAACTTCAGTCAATAAAATTAGAAAAGTAACTTCAACCTTACTTTATCTTATTATAACACAATTTTGCGCTCAAAATCAAAAGTTACGTGTTTGGTTAAAAAGTTGACTTATAAGCCGAAAACATAGTCACCAAATGGGCTCTGAATCCCCAACTCCAAAGCTAGTGAGAGGTTGTAAATCATAGTGATTCGATCCGTCATAATGGTGGTAGCTAGCCCTTATACTTGTAAGCACCACAGACTCAGTCTAACACACAAGAGTTTTGACCTCCACACGCGTTTGTGGGTTTCATTCCTTACGGTTAGGCCCGAGGCTAGAGGTGAAATTCTCATACATCTCAAATGACACGTACTTCGTTGTGGGATATATCATACATACTAGCAGGGCGGCATGTGATGCGCGTGAATCGTGCTCAACGGTGGAATTAAAGGCAAAACGTTATGGGGGATAGCAGTTTAAAACATAAAGAGGAAGTAGTAAGTTAATCACTTAGATAAATCCTATCATTGTTTAAGATAGGCATCAGTTCCACTTTGAGCACCAATAAAAGTAGCAAAAGCTATCAATAGGGGATGAGCATCGCCTTCGGTTACCGCCTTATTACAGGTAGCCACCGGGGGACCATCCCACGTTACAATCACATCAGAACTACGGACTATAGGGGCTGAACCCTATTTTTCTTCGCTGCCAGCGATCATAAGGGTCAAAGCATTATAATTTTCTGAAAAGGCAGTTTCGGGGGGGGGGGGGGGGGGGGGGGGGTAATTCAGAAACTCCAACAGAGGGGAAAACACTGGTTGTGGTACCAGTGGCACCAGCAACATATGCGGAGGCACAAGCATCATAAAGTGGAACACAAGCTATCAGAGGAACAATTGGAGCTTCAAGCGAAGTGGCAATAGCATTGTGAGTAAACAGCGGCACATGCACAAGACTCAGAAATAACCAAAGGAGTGTTATGACTGATACCAGCTTCAACTGGTCCACTTGCAACCACAGAACACTCAACATTAGTATCTAGGGCAATCAATAATAGCAGATGGGGCATCACTGGTTGTTGTTGTACCAATGACACCAGCAACATCTACATAGGTACAAGCAGCACAAATTGGAGCACAAGCATCGGAAACAACCAAAGGAACAGAAGCATCAGGGACACAAGTAATAACTGGAGCACAAGCATTGAAAATTACAAAAGCTACTGCAGTGGTACCACTGATACCAGCAGTAGGGCCACTGGTATAACATCATCACAGGCAACAGAGTTTGAGACATCTATAGGGGCAGTGGTAGTTTTATCTGTAACACAGTTAGTCTCAGCTAAATCTCACATCATCGGTTTTGGGTCCATATTTTTCGTTGCCCGGGGGCAGTTTCATTGCCATGTGGCATATACTTTCTCCGTTCTTTTTTAGTTGCAACGATGATCAATATTTCATATTTGCCAACACACGTCTTTGACCGTAATTATATCTTAATCTCTACTAGTAAAAAAAATAAAAAACAGATTTTGAAAATTTGTAATGAGATGAATTGAACAATATTTTTTTAAAATAATTTTCATAAAATAATAGTGTAAAATATAGTCAAAGTAGAGCATGCAAATAGTGTAAAATTCAACATGTTGCGATTAAAAAAGAACGAAGGATAGTATATGAAAGTATCTACATTCACGAAAGACCGTTAGGCCTTCCTTCAAACTAAGCTGGAACCAGTCACAACACGTCACCCTGTTCAAGTGCACTGTTAGTTTGGATATCATCTTCAGAACTTAATACAATATGAGACAGAGAGGGCCTAGAAAATCAGGTTGCACGGAAAAGTTACCAACTTTACACACAAAAAATAAGAATGCCAACAAGCGCTTATCTAGACTAAAGAACTTTCTAGTATATCCGACCTAAATCAAACATTACAATAAAACCGATCATAGAAGAATGACAATATTTTGGAAGGCTAAAATTAATAAAGCAATCACCTGAGTCAGATGGCTTCAGCAAACTTCCAAGGAACTTCCCGACAGATGGGAAAAGTGCACACCACTTCCTAAAATCCCCACAAGACATACAACTTGCAGCTGGATTTTGAGTATCTCACTAGTACAAAAATGGCTTTTTACATCACCATATCTACATGTGTTATGGTATAACCCATGTGAAATAGTGACATGGGGTCAGTTTTACGATATTTATAAAATTTTTCACATGAGTTGTTGATATAGTCGATGTTAAATAGTGAAACAGGGTACTTTTTAAAATTTAACAAAATATTCTAAATAGGTTATCACGGGAACCGATGTGGAAAACTAAACAGGGGTATTAACGAAATCGGTCGAAACCGACGCAAAAGAAATACTGAAATACTCATAAAAAAATTGCTATTATTCCAGATCGGTTAAACCTGTCTGGATTACTTCAAATTCTCGGCTCCCCTCATTTAACCGATTCCAGACCTAGAAGGCCATCTATAGCGTAGCGTAAGGTTCTTGTGAGTGACGGAAGGCGGCGGGTGACCTAATAGGTTGGACTCGGCGGCGAGTGATGGAGCAGGTCAGATCCGGAGGCGAGTGATCGAATAGATCTGACCCGGCGGCGAGTGACGGAGTAGGTCAGACCCAGCGGCTAGTGGTGGAGTGACTCTAGCATCCTGTGGAGTTCCTGACTTCGACTAAGGGTTGGACGGGGTTCGAGCGGATAGCCTGGTCGGAAGGCGTTCCAGTAGGGGTGCCTTTGTTTTCGGTCGGCGTTCGAGTGAGCAGACCTTCTTCATTGGCTGGTGTTCGAGTTAGTAGACCTTCTTCGTAAGACACGTTCGAACGAGCACACTGATAAGTATAATTATTTTCTTAACTCATCGATATTTAGTTGTTGTCGATTTGCTCTGGTCGAAAGTATCATAAATTGCTTGTTGGTTGGGGTTTATTTCCTAGTTGCTGTCAACTTTGTCTGCGTTGAATTGGTTGTTTTTTATTCCCTCTTATCGCAGCCTCTGCTATTTGGATTTAGGCTTACAAGTTGGTTGCTATATTTACCAATATCAACTTCAAAACAAAAATATTTACCTCATCAGTGCTATTTTTAGTTATTTCAAGAAAAATGATAGCTTTGTTGTGTGGGGACTAGGTGATGTTGGAGCATGACATATAAAATCAGTATATTAAGCAGAAAAATAACCTTTCTTGTTTGGTTTAAATTGTAAAAGTGTCTGCTGGCAGTTTCTTCTTTGAATGAAAACATATGAAAACATATGTAGATTGAAAGAAGAGTGTTGTTATTAAAGTGCTGAAGTGTTGAAGGAGATTCCCATGTGCTCATTGTTTGAACTAGTTTTTCTTAATGGAATGATACTATGCTTAAAAGTGTTACTCTCTTAGATCTGGCACACAATATAAAAGTCCTAAATTTTCATAAAATAATATCAAACTCTATTCTAGTCGAACTGTGAAGAGGATGCATATCTAAATACCCATCAATGATCGGTTAAGGTGAATGATGGACATATATCAAAATTTGTTATCAATTTACTAAGTCTTGTACATGGTAAAAGTACAATGTATCGACAAAAAAACGTATTTGTAGTTAGTTATTGCCTATTTATTGACTTTAAATCGACAAATTGATATCTTATATTTTATAGGTCACCACAGCTACACCCAAACAAATTTAGAGTGATGTATCTTAGTGAAAATGTTGACACCGGGTTTGGATCTCTTGGGTTTTCAATCTGTGATTGAGAGTGTATAATTTTAGTTTTCATTATAAAGTTCTGATTTTGGGATACATATTTGTTGGTTTGCAGCCTTGAGAACTTATTTCTATAAGAAGCATTGTACTCTAGTGGACTTGAAAAGCTTGACACCAGGTTTGTAAGGATATGATGTAACACCGTCCCCAAATGTATTTACCTTTAAGCGAATAATTTATTGAACCCTATGAAATTTTTAGTGAATTTACGAGGTTGTGAATTTGTATTAATTTTTTTTCGCGTGAATAATAAAATGCACGTGGGGCCCACATCAGGAGTGGGGACTGCCCGATATTATCGGGACCACATATTATATTCGTCTGGGTCTAGAAAATATTTATAGATGGTGGATACTTCATTTGGGCCATGGAAAAGCCCAGAGTTGACCGACCGGTCAATAGAGGCCCAAATACCGGTATCAATAAACTTATCAGATAAAAGCCTGAAATTGGATTTTGGAGACTTATAAATTAAAATTGGGGAATGCATATTCATTCTAAATGGTATAAGGATTTAAGAACACGTAATATATTTATTTAACCCGATAAAATAAAACATATCTAAAAACAGTCCGGAAAATACAACTTTCGGGGCGAATTGCACACTTTGTGACAAATTAGGACGACCTCCCACATGGGTGGGGGCCACCCCACGAATTTGTCAACCCTTGAGGGCTGGATGAGTGCCAAATTGGCTGAACAACAATTGAGAGGATGGGGGAGACACCTTTGACATGAAGTAGACCCCCTCCCTTCACTCATTTGTCTAAATGAGACAAAGACCACCCCCCTCACCTCACCATCTCCACCCACACGATTCAGCACCCTAGGATAGCAAGGAGGGGCTCTGAAACTTCTCATTTTCACACCCAAATTCGAGCTCAAGAAAGAGGATCCAAGGAGGAGTGCTTGGAGAAGGAAAAAGGTGTAGGAAAGTGTGGAAAATTGAGGTAATCACCTTGCCATAACTTTCCCTTTATTTTTCTTCTACCATGAGGCATAATTATTATATGGAGAACCCTTGGGATGGTTCTCCATGCTCTAAGTATGGATTTATGGGTTGGGAAGTGGTTCTATGTCCAAAAACGGACTTAGAAGCCAAATCGACCGATTTGCCGGAAAATAACCTTTTATAGGTTATTTGTGTTGATATGGGTTTTGTGATGATAAAACCTTGTTAGGAACTTGATTTAAAGTATTTTTGAGCTTCGCCGGAGTTTCGTCGGAGTTGGTCAAAGTTCGCCGGAGTTGGTCAATGTTCACCGGAGTTGGTCAAAGTTCGCCGGAGTTGGTCAAAGTTCAATCGAGGAACGTAGAACGCGCTTAAGTTTAATTGAGGTGAGGATGACCGACTATGTTGCTTATAATCTTTGGGTTAAACTCATGAGATTTCCTAAGTGAATACAAATGTGATGTGCATGGGTTGTTAATGGTTATTAATGCCTAAATAAAACTACTATTGATTCTAAGTATAGTATGCATGATACACAAATTTATGAATAAATTGTGTATGTTTAGATGTTATGATTATGTGTGTATGATGGTTGTACCAACCATGAATTTCATTTGAGATAGTATACTTGATACCATGAGGAGAAGCCATGAAGGTATGAAAGTGATACTTGATATTAAGGCAAATCATGCATGAAGAAAGAATTATATTGAAATAAATAAATAACTAGCATTGAAATATTAGTTGGAAATGTTAGTTGAGAAATGGATGAATTAGATCCTAAGAATTTGAATTATAAAGAATCGGTGATTATGAGCCGGGCTCAAGACCGATGTAGATAACGGTGATTATGAGCTGGGCTCTAGACCGTAGTAGATGACGGTGATTATGAGCTGGGCTCTAGACCGTAGTAGATGACGGTGATTATGAGCTGGGCTCTAGACCATAGTAGATGACGGTGATTATGAGCTGGGCTCTAGACCGTAGTAGATAATGGTGATTATGAGCTGGGCTCTAGACCGTAGTAAAAAAAATGATGAATTGATACTAAATGAACGGATTAACTATAATATAATGATGCTCTAGATTGAGGGCCTTAGAGATTTAAACTTCGATTATACTTAGTATAGTTGTCATTGTACTTGTCAAATGCTTCCAAGTACTGACCTCCCCTTCACGGGGGAGGCCACCTCACAGTTTCAGGTAGAACTTGAAGGTTGCTACTACCAGCCGCTGTTCGGGAAGTTTCCGAGAAGAAGACTTGGTTCGTGCTTCTTCCGTTCTCGTTTTGAAAACAATATGAATAATGCTCATGGATAATATTTTCTGAATAATTACTTTGGGGGCTTGCATGCCTAATTATGCCAAGTGTGGCTTGAACACTTGTATCAATTGTTTCCGCTGCTTTAATAAATGTTTTACATTATGTTTGTTTATGGATGTACTATGAGTGAATGGTATTCAAGACGCCTTGTATAGTATGGATGAGTCGGATTGCGGTTGACTATTCGTACTGTACGGCGGGTTGTTGACGTGTCCGGGTAGGTCCGGGACGTGACATATGACGTGCTATTCAAAGTGATTACTTTAGTTATGTCATTGTATCTTGGTGTGTATATAGTTTTAACCCGTTCAAAGTTTGATTATTATGTTTATTCTGCGATTTCTGTTGTTGATGTCAAACTGATGGCCTTTTGTTTCTTTAGCAAAGTTAGATGGCTAACATAGAAACATAATTATTTGGCAAATGAACAACCCTCACATGCAATGATTATCTAATATGTTTGTTGTTTTCTACTTTGCTCCCTGTTGCAGGTTAATTGTTTTCTAATATGTCTTCTCTCTCGCAGATGCAACTCTCTACTTTGCTCCCTGTTGCAGGTTTGTTGTTCTCTACTTTGCTTTCTGTAGCTAATATGTGTTGTGCAGCTAGGTTAACTAAATTAGATAGTTTTAGATCAAGTATTCATTTGATTTATTATTGTGTAGTACACTGAGTTCAAGACTTTAATTGATGACTTTAGTTAGTTAATTTTTCTAACACTGAACTTATATTTGTGTTTTCTACATGTCTTTATTGAGAGCATCTTTTTTGGAGGGATATAAGAAGAGCCACTTTCAACAGGTTTAATGTTTTCTATTTTAGAGGTAAGTTTTTGTTTGGATGACTTTTTCTAAATTTTTTGTTTGATTACTTGCACTCTGGCTATAACAATTGAGCCTGGCTGAGGAACAGGTCCATGGGCAAATGTTTGTTTCTCCAAATGTTATCTCTCCTTTTCAGATTATTCTCCTTCACATGGTGTCAATTAAGAGCATATAAATATATAATACCAATTAACAAATAGTGCTTTTATGCAATTATATTTTGGTGACATAGGTTCCAGTGCTTAATCCCCAGACAATCAAATGGATACAGCCTCACACTCTTGTTCGATACCGGGGAATGATTCAAGACATGTTGGGTAATGAATTTTATGCTGGAGCCTATAAGGTATCATTTTTAATCCTCTTTCTCTTGACTATGTCATTATTAATTTATTATAAACATAGATGATATGTTAGTATTAACTTTGTTTTCTCTCTCCCCTTAATTAACAAGGATGGGGATACATGGAGAACTAATAAGTTTGCTGATATTTCTCAATTTCCAATGGGAGATACACCTGAGATGCGAGTTTGGGAGCGCCACTTGCTGTACTGTGTTCCTGTGAGTTCTTATATGTCATAGTTACATATCTTCTACTAGTATAACTACCTGTTCTTGTGTATGTTTATTCTTTGGTAGAAGCTCATTACTCATGTTTGTTCAGGTACCAGGGCAGAATCCGTGGACTGAAGTCACTGAGCCTTGTGAAGTTTTAAAGGATACAATCACATGCTCTACTTATACTTGTTTGCAGAGGGAGAAGCGCCAGAGAGAAGATGATCCTATAATGGATGATCTGAATATGGAAGTAATTCTCTAAATTTTCACTTGTTTCGTATTTGCCACACACTACTACCCTTTTCTAAACAAACTATTCTGTTGCAATCCAATATCATGGTTATGTGCCGGAGCTGAAATTTGCCATGCATTCTCTTTTAAAAATGCGTTGTATTCCACCTGTCATATTTTACTGTCCTAGTTACTATTCATGGGTAAACTACATATCCTTTGTTAGGTTATTTTATTTACTATTGTTTTAAATTTTTTAAAATGAAATATTCGTGTCATTGCTATTTCACAGCTTTTGCTGTAGTTTGGAAATATGTAAGTTTACTTCCTTTATTTAAAGTAAGTTGTCCAACTTAGATCCTTCCTCATTACTCAAGGATACATCAAATGGGCCCCATCATTATTAGATCCAACTTAGATCCTTCCTCACTACATAATACTCCTTTATGTAGTTTCCAACTTAGATCCTTCCTTGAATTACGGGCTAGCCACATCAATTATGATGGTCTCAGTGGTGGGGAAATGTTTGTCTCTCTTAATTCCATCCCAGACTATATTCTACATTACAAAGAAGTTGAAGTGAAGTAGAGCTACAATTAAGTTAAGGAATCAGGTTTCCTCACTATAAGTTTGTTTCTTGATTTACATTTTGAAGAATTGTCATACTTATAACACAAATATGTCATGTGGACTGCTAGAATCACTACACCACTATGTCTTTTCTTTTGTCCTTTTCTTTTCTGAAAGGCATAAAGAGGGAGTTTCATGGAAGAAATTAAGCTCATGTGATGACCAGGAAGACTTTTTCATCTCGTCTATTCTCCATTGTTAATGTTTCAGCCTTATTGTATTTTGACATAGGAGCTTTTATTTAGATAGCATTTTGTTCTTGTTTATTGTTTTTTGTTGCGGGGATGCCCCTTTTAATTATGTAGTATGTACATTCACATTTATGTGAGAATTTGAGATATAAATAAAAATGTTTGTGATACGTTCGTAATTTCCATATCTATGTTTATGTTTTTAATTAGTTTTGCTTGACTTCTACTTTGGAAATTACACACTTTTGGTGTAATAGATTAGATTGTCAAATTCTTGTAAATAGGTTAGATTAGATATATTCTGAGCTTAAGCAGGTTTTGGTCACTCAAAGTACAGTTGGTGAACCCAAAAAGTGAAGAGAAGGTGCAAAAGTTCAAAGACAAAAGAAGATCATGAATTTTGTCTATACTCGGTCGAGTATTAGCTCTACTCGATCGGGTATTAGGTTGGAACTTCAAATCGGATCAGATCCGAAGACAAGGGAACATGCATGGAAGATTTTGGCCACGATTTTATGTCTATACCCGATCGGGTAGATCGACATACCCGATCGGGTATGCCTTTGAATTGCAAACGAAGATCGGTCGAGTATAGCCCGAATACCACTTTCTAAGCATACTCGACCGGGTATTCATATATACTCGATCGGGTATACACTTAGAAAATAGCCTGAAACCGGTCGAGTATGCCTCGGATCGAGTGTTACACACGTACTCGATCGGGTACCATGTATATACCCGATCGAGTACCCGAATCCCATCCCAAAAACCTATAAATACACCTCCTTTCTTTCACAAAAAGATATCCAATCCCTTGTACATCTAAGCTCAGTATAGAATAGCTCTTTCTTTATATTTTTCATCATGTTTAGTCTCCAAATGAGGAGCTAAACTCTTCCATCTTGGTTTTGCTACTTTGAAGCTTAATGAATTTGTAAGTTATGAGTTATTTTCTTTAATCTTCTTCCTTGAATATTAATTCTTTCTTTCAAAATACTATCTCTATATCAAAGTTGGGGAGTGTTACTAAGATGACAATTAGTTAACATCTTGACATTGGTTATAGTAATAGCTATTTCTTCCTCTATGATAATATTGGGGAGTGTTACTAAGATGACAATTAGTTAACATTTTGATATTAATCATAGTAGGATTCATATATTTTAATATTCTTCCTTGAGTATTGATTAATTCCTATTCATATTTCATGTTAATATCTTAAACATTACTTAAAGTATCAATTAGTATTGTTTCTCATATTAATTATTACTAGAATCAATCGGTTAATACGCTTGTTATTAATCCGGTTCTTTCAACGGTAGTAAACTTGGAATATTAATGCATGCATCTCATGGTTAATATGCCAAGGGGAATTAATTATATTGATTAAACCAATAAACCGCTTGTGTTGAGGTTATCAATCTCAATCGTTTTCATCTTAAGTTTATTGCTACTATCAAGTTAATATACGACGCTTGTTCTATATTGACTCGATAGTAAGTTTTATTAATGAACGCATCTCGTTATTAATAACTACCCTCGATGAACTGGATATACTCCTCGATTGAGTATTCGAGAGGAAGATAGTTAAAGATATAACCGGGATCGACGAACTTTTCATTAAGTGGATAAAAGCAAAACCAAGTCCTCATCTCATCGAATTAAACTCATATAGGTCGTTTATCTTAGTGTTTTCAAACCAAACAAGTCTAAAACCCCCTTGTTACTATTTATATAAAAGAAAAGTATTCCTTTCCCTGTGGATACGAACCTTACTACACTATACTACGTATTAGTGTTGTATTGATTATTTATTTTGAGTGCACTTAACGACGAGTGCACGTCAGTTTGAAATTTTGATTATTGATTAGTATTAAATTATATATATATTGTAATTAATGTATCATGTGTATGTTTTCATATCACTCACATGTCATTGAGTTTTGTGATATAGTAGTTGATGATACTGTTAATGATGTGATTATAGTATAAATGAGGGTCATATTGCAAATTGTTTTCCTGAAAAATACCAAAAAATTTGAATCTTTTCACATCAGTTGTAAAATAACCGATGTGATTGCTTTTCTACATGGGTTATAACCGATGTGAAACACATATGTTCTCGGAAAAAATGAAGCTTTTCACATCGGTTGATAAAATGACCGATGTGAAATCTTTTCTACATGGGTTATAACCGATGTGAAAAACCTATGCTCCGGGAAAAATTGAAGCTTTTCTACATCAGTTGTAAAATAACCGATGTGGTTTCTTTTCTACATGGGTTATAACCGATGTGAAATATCATTAAAAACGTCGTTTCGGACTATCTTCTAGATCGGGCACTAAACGACCGATGTAGAAAGACTTTTCACATCGGCTGTTTGACCGATGTCAAAAGTCAATACTTTTCACATGTGCTGGAACCACATCGGCTGTTTGACCGATGTGAAAAGCCTTTTTTGACCGATGTGAAAAGCCTTTTTTGTACTAGTGTCTATTGTGAAATTTGCAGCACGGAATAATATCTCAATAATATCTTCAGAGCATTTCTAAGAAAGTATATTATGAAGCATTGCTAATAAGTTTGATAGACAAACTCTTCAATCTCATCTTTTGTTCCCTTTTCATAAGTTGTCTACCACATAAAACCAGAAAGCTTAGAAAGATTTGACTTCACTCCAATCGGTACTTATAATAGCTATGAACTAAACTGCAGACTCACTTGAATGGACGACACCTAAAAAATAGTAACTGAACAGCAACACAATAATGTATTTGGTCAAAGATGAGAAAAAAATAAGCTAAAAAGTTAGTTCTAAAAATTTAGGCAATATCATTCAACTCAGATACAATTATCTATCTTTGACAGATAATATATATTGTTCTTTCATTCGTCTTCGAATTTTTAATAAAAAAGAATTAGATCTTATCTTGATAAATATTAATCAAGTAACTCCTCTCTCAACAGTTAAATAATAGAGAGTTAGATTTCTCAGAAGTTCTACGGATAGAGTCCAATTGAAGAAACTTACCATATTTCATCACAGGGTTTCCCTAAACTGTTTTACAAACAATGGCTTTGTTCTTTACTTCTTCTGAAAAGAAAATTGCATGAATAGGAGGAGATTTCAGTTTCCAAAATTGCAGGAAAAGAAAGAGAAAAGGTTACAGGATTAGGGTGTCTAACGCAGTTCAGAATCTCATTCTCATTTCTAAATTGCTCCATTCCTCTTGTTGTTGTGCTCGTATAAATGCTTCTCTTCGACTTCCTTCCATCCTGAAGTTTGCCTAGTTAGGTACATACACACAAGAGTTCACTAAGTTAGCAGCAGAAGAAATTGATAGAATTCAACAGACGAGGATATAATACAGGCACTGTACACACGGTAAACGACCAACTAACATCCTTACACGCTTTAGATATATAGGAGATATAAAGTCTCGAAGCAAGGTGAGCAACGTGGTTGTCCTCATATAGAGTATCATCATAGGACCTATTTGGGGGAAATGTCGTATCATCGTTCAACGGATCAGAATTAGTTTCCACATATTCCGTTGCAGCCCCAACAATGAGGGCATTAACCCCAGATCTCGGGGCAATCACTTGAGTGGGTACAGGGAGATGAGGGCATCGCCTGCGGTTATCACCTTGTAACAGATAGCCACTGGGGGTTCATCTTGTACTTTGGCAACTGAACATGGAGCATCAATGAGCACAGGTTTAAGTGTAGTTGTATTTAATAGGTGCATCCGAGGGAGTAACATCACAAATAGGGCATCACATGAATCAGTAACCTGTTTAATAGAGACACAACAATTTTGGCCATCAACAAGTGCGAGAACTGGGACAACAGTTTCAAAACAATTATGGCCATCAATAGGATCAATTATAGAATTAACTTTGTCAACAAAGGTAGCAATATTATCAGAATTATGAACCGAATCCATCACAACAGCGAAAACATTTTCAGTACCGGGTGAGACCATCAGTTCATCAAAGGCAACAATTTAAGTAGTCACAGCGTCAGAAATGGAGGCTATTGCATCAGTAGATATAGGGACAGTAGATATAGAGACAACAGGATTGCAATAGGAAGGACCCTAACAAAATCAGTGAGAGGGTTACATCATTGGCCAAGGTAGCCTCAGGAGGATTTTGTTACCTCAGAATCGTTGAACATCGGAGTTAGATTTGAAATTGATCAAAAGAGTGTGCGATTGAAGAAGGTCTACAGTGTAGGGTTGCGAGAACCCTAGCTTCTCGAAGGCCCTTCAAATCGCATCAAGAAGGGCCACCCATCGGAGAAGGTACCAACCGGCGCTTAATGAAAATGAGTAAAGAAAACCTGGGTGTTGTCCTCAGAGAAAACCTTTGAATGAGCCGGACAATTTGGGCTTGAATCCCAGAAGATCAGAGTCGGAGAAGAGGCGCGCTTGGGAGTGTACGCATCGGCTGGGGACGGAAGCCCTTACCGCCGCAGCGTAAAAAGCGTCGATGCTCTGCCACCGGTCCTTGACCCTCCACCAGCGGCATGGTGTGCCGCGCAGACCTTGGGAAGCAAGAAGACAACGAACAGTTGAAAGAAGGCGGAGCCTCTCGCCCTGGCACGTGAAATTGAGAAAAGAATGGAAAATGAATTGAGAAAAGCATCGTAGCTCACTTCTAGCGGAAGAACGGCAAACGTCGTGAATTATTTGGGGTTGTAGCAATGGTAAAAGGGCCATGCTAACATCCTTAGAGGCTTTATATTATTAGTAGATATGAGGTCCGGTCCGGTAAGAGCACTCTTTATCATGAGAAATGAGAACGTTCCAAAACGATGCACATAATGATTCGTAAAGGTGTACATTTATAGTTAAAATAATGCGAAGCTAAAATGCACACATTTGTCACTAGTGGAAAAACATCAAATAGAGGCGCTTCGTTTGAGGCGCTTTTCAGCACAAACGCCTCTATTTGGCGTTAAAATTATTATTTTAAAATTTTTTAAAACCGTGCGGCGCTTATTGGAAAAAAGCGCCTCCAATCATTTTTTTAAATATTTTTTTTAACTCGTGCGGCGCTTTCTTTTAAGAAGCGCCTCCGATTTGATTCCCGTTTTTTTTTTAAAATCCCTCCACTCGTGCGGCGCTTAGGAAAAGAAGCGCCTCTAATTTCCCCGGTTTTTTTTGGAATTGGGCCACGCTTGCGGCGCTTGGGTAGAAGCGCCTCTAAGTTCCCCGGTTTTAAATGGAATTGGGCCACGCGTGCGGCGCTTAGGTAGAAGCGCCTCTAAGTTCCCCGGTTTTAAATGGAATTGGGCCACGCGTGCGGCGCTTGGGCTAGAAGCGCCTCTAAATATTTCGTATTTTTAAAATAAAAAAATCCCTGCGTGCGGCGCTTTTTGTGTAAGAAACGCCTCCAATTTTAACCCAAAAAAAATACCCCGTCGTCCAAACCTAGCCGGTTGTTCCGATCCAAACCCTGCAGCTGGAAACGGAAACATCACCTGGGAAACGGAAATAGCAGCCGCACCGCCCGCGACCTTTCGACCGCACCGCCGCCCGCGACCTTTCGACCGCACCGCCGCCCCCACGTACGCCTGCCATCGGGTTATTCGACTTCTCCAGCACGCTCGCCGCCGTCGTACGCCTGCCGTAGGCTCGCTCGCCGCCGCTGCACGCCTGCAACTACTCCGGCACGCCGTCGACTTCTCCGGCTCCCCGTCGACTTCTCCGGCCCGCATCCCAGGTCAGTTTATTTTTTAATTAAGTTTTTGGTATATTTTGGTTGATTTCACTTTTATTTGATTTTAGTTTAAATTTTAGTTTAAATGTTTTCAGATTAATGTATATTACATATGAGATCCATTGTTCCCATGTCTAGGATTCCTTAATTTTTAATCAAGTGGGAATTATACTTACATTGATAAAAGTGAGTTTATTTGTTAATTATTTTGGCATATATATTATGTTTTTCATTTTTATTTGATTGTACTTTGATTATTTTGGACCGCTTCGGCTCACAGTTAATTATAATTTATTCATTGTTTATTTGACAGCGTTATCAATGTATTTTATTTGATTATAGTATGTGTAATTATTGAAGTAATAATTATTTGATTATACCCGAATGAATAATGGCCACCACTGAGATGGAAGATTGGTTGGTTTTAGTTCGTGTTAGTTCAGTAGTGTTGAATACATTTCACTCACATAGAAACTTTTTTCTGGTATACTCCTTTAAAATGAATGGAAAATGGGGTCATGGTATTCCATACTATGAAGCTATGAAGCTAGTAGAAATAATTTTCATGCTATTCTGGTTGAAACTTTTCATTCACATAGAAACTATGAAGCTAGTAGAAATAATTTTGTTTTCTGGTATACTCCTTTAAAATGAATGGAAAATGGGGTCATTTCATTCACAAAATAAAATGAATGGTATACATAGAAACTTTTTTCTGGTATTCTGGTTGAAACTTTTCATTCACATAGAAACTATGAAGCTAGTAGAAATAATTTTGTTTTCTGGTATACTCCTTTAAAATGAATGGAAAATGGGGTCATGGTATTCCATACGTGTCAAGGAATAAATCCGCCAAAGAACTGCGTCTTATATGCTCCTGCTTCATTGCAACATCTGTGAATATGATTTGATCTGGTTGTACCCCTTGTGCAGCTGCATCTGATAAAACATTATTACTTGGTTAACATTATGGAGGGAGTATATGATATTGCTTATATGCACATTATATGATATATTATTATTGGACAAATGTAGAATTTCGTTCAAAATGGATCGTTCTTGGATGTATGGACGTCGAGACACGTCTGAGTTTTTCATTGGTGCGAATGGGTTCATCAAAGCTGCCGTTACACACCAGAAACAACATGGACATAAAGGAATTTTATGTCCTTGTTTAAAGTGCCGGAACTTGAGAAGAGAGAGTGACACCAATGTTATACTTCAACATCTGTTTGAGAGAGGCTTTAGAGAAAATTACATCATTTGGACTATACATGAAGAGACTTTCCAGGATGGTGAGAATGTTGTTCCGCGAGCCGCCGCTAGTAATTTAAAGCGCAAAGCCCCCGATACTACCACCAACTTAAATTGGAATAATGAAAATAGTGGTGATGATGATTTCAATGATGATCACATGGATGAGTTTTTGAAGGATGTACATGATAATTTTGAACAAAAACCAAAATCATATGAAAGTATGGTTGATGCCGCCAGAATACCTTTGTATTCTACCTCTACTTTTACGAAGCTGTCTGCGGTTTTGAAGTTATTTCATTTGAAAGCGAAACATGGATGGAGTAATGTCAGTTTCACAAAGTTATTGACATTAATTCAAGAGATGTTGCCCGAAGGGAATACACTTCCTGATACCACTTACAAGGCAAGAAAGTTACTGTGTCCTATGGGAGCTGAATGGGAGAAATTCCACGCTTGTCCAAATGATTGTGTGTTGTACCGGAATGAGTACGAAAATCTTGATGAATGTCCAACATGTCATCTTTCTCGCTATAAGGCAAAAAGGAGTACAAATAGTGCTAGTGACACTGAGTATTCCAAAATTCCTGCAAAAGTTTTGTGGTATCTCCCCATTATTCCGAGATTTAAAAGGTTATTCATGAATGCAAAAGATTCCAAACATTTAGTTTGGCATTCTCAAGGTAGAAAAAAAGATGAGTACTTGCGTCATGTGTCTGATTATCCGCAATGGAGGCAAATTGACTTGAAATATCCTGAATTCGGCAGAGAGGACAGAAATTTGAGACTTGGCCTATGCACTGATGGTATGAATCCATATGGTACACTCAATAGTCAACACAGCACTTGGCCAGTTCTATTGGTTATTTACAATTTGCCTTCATGGTTGTGCATGAAACGTAAATACATCATGTTGTCTCTTCTTATCTCGGGACACAAACAACCGGGTAATGATATTGACGTGTACCTTGCACCGCTTATTGATGATCTCAAACTGCTGTGGACTGAAGGTGTTACAACATATGACATGCATACCAAATCTTATTTTCAAATGCGTGCTATGTTGTATTGCACTATAAATGATTTTCCAGCATATGGCAATCTTTCAGGCTACACAGTCAAAGGTGCAAAAGCATGTCCTATATGTGAAGATGATACAGTTGATTTGCGATTACCTCACTGCAAAAAAAATGTTTACTTGAATCATCGAAGGTTTCTTCCGCGCACTCATCGTTATCGTGCTTTGAAGAAGGCATTTAACGGAAAAACTGAGCATGAAGTAGCTCGTCCACCATTAAATGGTCATGATGTGTATGATAGGGTGAAAGATTTGAACACAATCTTTGGAAAACCTTATAAGCGGAACAAGCAGAGCCTTTGGAAAAAGAAATCTATATTTTGGGAGCTTCCTTATTGGAAAGACCTATCAGTAAGGCACTGTCTTGATCTCATGCATATTGAAAAGAATGTGTGTGACAGCATCATTTCAACTATTTTGAATGTTCCTGGAAAGTCAAAAGATGGCATAAATATTCGCAAAGACATGGTTGAACATCTGAATATTCGGAAAGAATTAGCACCACAACCACGTGAGAATGGATTGTTTCTTCCACCAGGCAGCTATACATTATCAAAGGCTGAGAAAAAAAGTTTCTGTGAGTGCTTACATGGGATAAAGGTGCCATCAGGGTATGCGTCTAATATTAGAAATCTTGTATCACTACAAGATATGAAATTGATTGGGTTGAAGTCTCACGACTATCATGTTTTGATGCAACACTTGTTACCTGTTGCTTTAAGAGGTCTTCTACCTGATCATGTTCGGCATGCCATTATGAGGTTGAGTTTCTTCTTCAATTCCATATGCCAGAAAGTCATTCATCCAGAGAAACTTGATGCTTTGCAATCAGAAGTAGTTGTTACATTATGTCAACTCGAGATGTACTTTCCGCCATCATTGTTTGACATTATGGTGCATCTTGTTGTGCACTTAGTCAGAGAGGTAAAGATGTGTGGACCGGTGTTTTTGAGGTACATGTATGGAATGGAGAGACACATGGGGTATTTAAAATTAAAAGTAAAAAACCGTTGTCGACTTGAAGGTAGCATCATCAGAGGTTTAATTGATGAAGAAGTCATTGAATTTTGTACGCCATATTTAACTAATGTGGAATCTTTGGGAGTACCAAAGTCTAGACATGATGACAGACTTGAAGGAAAGGGCACTCTTGGGAAGAAACAAGTAAAGAATGTGGATAATGATTTGTTGGGAAAGGCTCATCTTCTCGTATTGCATCATCTTGAAGTAGTTCATCCTTATGTGCAACAACATATGAATGTCTTGAGATCCCAGTTTCCTTTGAAAAGTGAAATATGGTTGACTAAAGAACACAACCGAACCTTTGCATCTTGGTTTAGGGATTTAATTTTCAATGACACTGATAATGTGTACTATGATGTTGATGATGATATTAAGTGGTTGGCCTATGGTCCTAAACGACCAATTGATTCTTTTGAAGCATATGATATCAATGGCTACACTTTTTATACTACCAGACAACATGAGAAGTCAGTGTTACAGAATAGTGGTGTGTCTGTGATAGCATCTTCGACTGAGTATGCTAGTGCAAATGATCAAAATCCATTAAATGCAAGGCTGTCTTACTATGGAAAAATAGAAGACATTTGGGAGTTAAATTACAGAGCTCGATCTTTTGCCATTTTCAAGTGTCAATGGGTTGACATTCGTCGAGGGGTGCAATGTGATGACACTGGAGTCACATTAGTAGATTTTAACCGATCAGGACATCGTGGTGATCCGTTCATACTTGCATCACAGGCCGAACAAGTGTTTTATGTAAAAGATCCTTCAAATGAACGATGGTCCATTTGTTTACCCGGCAAGAAAAAGATTACATGTAATTTTGAGGATGAGGAAGATGATTATGTTGAGGAAATGCCCTCATTATCCATCGGGATGCGTGAAACAAACATAAGATATGATCACAATGAGGATGATCTTCCCTTTATCGCACACCATAATGATGGCATTGAAGTGTTAACGGAAAAAGCTAAGTGAGGAATTGTAAGTTGTTTTGAGTTAAGTAATTTAATACTGAATTGTAATTAAGTTATATTTAATATTGAATTATTATTAATCATTATGCATGCTTATGAATTGCAGGTACACACTATGAGCGACGACGACGGAGATGAGCCTGGTCATAATCAAGATCCTCATGGCGGCGGTGGCAGTCAAAGAGACAGCGAGGGGCGAAAAATAATTGAATTTGCTGATACCGATGCTGTCATCGGTGAGTGGGCTGAAGAGTTTAAATCATTCTTGGGGAAGATGGTACATTCCCGAGTGAGTATAAACATTGATAGTTGGAAGAAAGTTTCAAAAGCGAATAAAGATCAAATCTTTAAAGAGATACATGTACCTACAAAATCTCCAATTTTATTAGCCAAAATATTTATATTCATTTCACTATATAATATACGCTAACACTTTATTTTTGATGTTATCATGCAGCATGACTATGCTGTGGAGGATAATATAAAAAAACCATTATTGAAAAAGTTGGGCAAAATGCACCGAGATTGGAGAAATCGATTGCGATCAGGTTTCATAAATAAGACTCGTCAAGTGGGAAAGGATTGTGGGGAAGCTTTTGAGAAGTATAAAGACCAACTTACCAAAGAAGAGTGGGATAGTTTCATGGCAAAGACTATGACTCCTGAGTTTGTGGTATGTCATAGAATTAAAAATTTTCAATATTTTAATTAAGTAGTTGTTTAATATTTATGAAACATTGAATAGGCTTTGAGCGAGAAGAATAAACAAGCTGCACTTCAGAATATCTATCCTCATCATATGGGTCGTTCAGGATATGTTCTTTCCATACCGAAATGGAAAGAGCAAGGATTATTAGATCAGTTTCTTACCGGTTCAGAAGTAGATTCAACGAACTCTAGCACAACCACTTCTGGTGATATTCCAAGACATGTCACTTCGTTTTGTGCAAGGTCTGGATTAACAGCGGATGGTCACATCGTGTTTCCTGGTAATACTGAGGGCATGCGCGAGAAAAAAGAGAAGTTGGTAAGTTATAGTTAGTATATGTATGATCATATTATTAAATCATGTTTATTTTTTAACATTAAATTCTATTGCTTCTGTACTAGGATAAACTTCAAGAAGATGTAGCAGCAGGAACGTGGAAGCCAAGTGGTCGACATGATATATTGACGGAGGTTGTTGGGAAGCCTGATTACCCTGGACGTGCACGTGGCGTCGGTGGTGGTGTGGGTTATACACATGTCTTTGATCGAGAGTCGAGAAGCACACATCGAGATAAGGTTGGTAATTTGAGTAATGTTGACCTAAAGCAGTTGCAAGAGCGTTTGATGAAAGACATGCAACATTACTTTGTTCCAAGAAGTGAAGTGCCTATCGGGGATTCAATGCCTGCTTCCGAGGCGGCCCACGTGGATACTATGAACTCTGCTGCACCCCATCTTTAAAAAAAAACATTCATTGTAAGTAACATTTTATTAATTATTTATGTAGAAAATGTTTTATTTTTCATTTGTATGTGTACATACATACATGCAGGATGGTGCATCTTGTAGGCTTGCTGTTGAGTCACACATTTATCCTGGTGATAAGAGTTTGGACTTTGTGGCCATGGCTGTAGCCTACAACACGCCTGTTGGGTCGTTAATCCATAATGTACCGATGTGTGAAAACACAATCAAAGTGAACATATGTATGGCATATCGAGAGTTTGAAGACTGTCCATTGCTTTATCCTAATGAAGCCGCTGATATGAATGTTGTAGCAGACGCTGTAGGTTCATATGTTCAATGGCCATCTCATTTGGTTTTTTTTGAGGGAGAGGTAATGAAGTTATTGTTTCATATTTTTTACTTTTGTTGCTTATTTCGATATGAAATTCTTTCATACATTTTTATGTAATAATTATTTTAGGAACCACCGTCTAAGTCAAAAAAGAAGGATGGAGCTAAGAAAAAAGTACCCTTTATCGTGAGAGATTCACCAAAAGTAACGGTTGAACCCAGCTCACATTCATTGGTCAGTGAAACTGTTCTTCATTCACTTACAGATGATCTTTTAAGATTGCATGAAAATCTTGAGTGGTATGAGCCCGATCTTTGTAAGTTTTCTATTCCTCTTCATGCGGAGTTGTTCTGTTATATTGATGATAACCAATTTGGGACCGTTGTTGACCGTGAAGACTTGAGTCAATTTCTTGAGAGTGATTTTGTTGATCTTTCAATTATTCAGACCTTTATGCTGTAAGTATTATAATAAGTTTTCAAGCACTCTTGAATATTTGTTAGACTTAATTACTATTGACTAATTATTAATATTATAATTTCACATGCATGTAGTTGTGTAAATGCAAAACTGATTGAGTTTGGTCGTGATGATGTGGGTCTTTTGTGTCCTTGGATTTGTTCTTTTAAGTATTATCAATTGGATAAAAAGGGCACACTGACTTACATGAAGCATGCTCTGACTGAAATGTTTGAAAAGAATATCATTCTCTTGGCATATAATGAAGGGTATGATTCATATATTACATTCACTTTTACATATTATATTTATTGATCGTGACATATGAAATATTAACCCATTTTCTATTCTCTTTGGAAATATAGGTATCATTGGGTTTTGTTTGTAATTTGTCCAAAGGTTGATAAGGGCTACATTTTCAATTCATTGCCAAGTTATTCCAATATTGCTATTCAAAAAGATCTTATGATGTATGTATTTTTAATGATTTAGTTGTGATATTTAACATTTGTATTTAACATTTATACTTGTATGTCAACATTGAGCATATATATATATATATATATATATATATATATATATATATATATATATATATATATATATATATATATATATATATATATATATATATATAGGGAAGAGATCAAATAAAAAGAGGTTCTCCCGTGCAAAGTGCAAACAATTACACTTTTTTAGCACCGCGTTGCACTTTTGCGTGTTTCTGTTGCACTTTTTCACGATGGCAAAAAATTTCGTTTTAATTACGAAATTGCCACCGCGTTTTTGATCAATTTTAGTTCACTTTTGGCTCATTTTGAGTCATTAGATCTCGAAATGAACGCACGAGATTAATTCTCACTTTGCATGGGAAGACCTCTTTGTATTTGAACCCTCCCCTATATGTGTGTATATATATATATATATATATATATATATATATATATATATATATATATATATATATATATATATATATATATATATATATATATATATATATATATATATATATATACATTGAGCTTAATTATCATTATAGGATGTATAGAGTTGCGTCTACACAAAAGGGTCGTGGCAAGCCGATCAAATGGCATAATATGAAGGTACTTTCATCATATATCTTCTCTTATTTACATAAGTTATGCTTTTATGTAAAAAAATCATATTATAAAATAATAATGTATATTTGTCATCTAATATATAGTGTGCAAGACAAACGGGCAACACAGAATGTGGATATTATGTGATGAAGTTTATTTGGGAAATAATAACTTCTGTTGGAAGTTCAGATATTGCACAGGTATTTAAATTATATATACTTCAATAGGTGGATTTCATTAAATCATTTAACTTATATACGATAGTATAATTTAGTTTGTCATTACTTATTTTAGCTATATTTTTATGATTACTTTCAGGTTTGGAATTCAAGAACTGAGCCATATACAACGGAGGAGTTTGATGACATTAGAAAAGTATGGGCTAGGTTTTTTGTAAATGAAGTGTTATGACATTAGAACTGAGTCAAACTTGAATGTAGTTTTATTATATTGTGATACAAATTTGTACCTTTTGAATTGTATTTGTGCGAAACGATTTTATCGTTATTCTGGTTTTATGAATGAATGAATGTGTTTTTTTGGTTGACAATGAATCTGTAAATAAAACAGGTTATATAGTATTTTAAAAAATATATAAAAAAAAAATAATAAAATTTGGAGGCGCTTTTGTGAAAAAAGCGCCTCTAAAACAGAATACGGAGCCAAGTTTGGAGGCGTTTTTAAGGTTAGAAGCGCCTCTAATTCATTTTACGTAGCACATTTTGGAGGCGCTTTTTTCGTCAGAAGCGCCTCTAAATAAAAAAACTCATCAGAAGCGCCTCTGTTTGGGCCACGCGTGCGGCGCTTTTTCTATAAGAAGCGCCGCAAAATTCCGAAATTATTTTTTTTTTAAAATATTAGAGGCGCTTCCAGTCAAAAAAGCGCCTCCAATTGAGATTTGCGGCACATTTTTTAGAGGCGCTTCAAAGCGCCGCACGTGAGCCATTTGAAGCGCCTCTGATTAACGATTTTGCACTAGTGTGTGTTTAAACTAATGCTCAGTTCAAATGCACATTTTCGAATTTATGATAGAGCAAATTTGTGTTTCATTTAATGCATGATGCCTAGAATCATTCTCATTGCTCTCCTTAGATCATGTTCTTCTCATTTGAACCAAATTATATATATATATATATATATATATATATATATATATATATATATATATATATATATATATATAATATATATAGGGTTTGATTAAAATAAAAAGTGTGTTTAATGTGTGAAATTTTTGCACTCACTTTAATCTGTATTCATTGCACTTTTTGATGTTTCACCAAAACTCATTTATTTACAAAATTCTCACTGTATTTATTTATAAATAAGTGATTTTTTGAAGAAACGCCAAAAAAAGCATTACACTGCACCTACGTAGCACCGATACCGGTACGCGAAATCGCGGAAACACGGACACGGGTACGGGGATACGGCAAAACAAAAAAAAGTAGGATACGGGTACGGGGCCATATTTATAAATATTAAAAGTTATGGGGGTGTATTTACAAATATTAAAAGTTACAGGGATGTATTTATAAATATTAAAAATAGTTTTTTTTGGAAATATATACATATAATATCCTATGAAATATACAAAAAAAATAATTTTTTGGATATATATATATATATCCTATATATACATATATACCCATTCATTACATATACATCATAATATTTCTCATATACACTAGTGCATCTCGAAATATAAATGTAGACATGTAGTCGATAAGTCATTAATTTAAAATGAGAAATAAGTCAAACAACTACAATCTTGAAATTAAAAGTGCAAGTACCAAAGTTCTAGAATAATTAAGATAGAAAACAATATTTTAAAAACATATACTGCTTAGAAGCTCGTGATATAAGACGAAGATTGTTATGAACAAATACCAAATCCTCCGCTCGCTTTGGAAGCAGTTTGTTTCTTCTAAATGAATTAATAAAAGAATAAGAACTCCAATTCCTTTCTGAGCATGATGATGAAGTAGGTTGTCCTAGTATTATTTTGAAAGCTAATTTTTGAAGAAAAGGTGCATTAGAACCAAAGCATGCCCACCACTTCTTAGGTTCCATGTAATATCTGCTTGCAATAGATTCAGGATCCTCAAATTTTGGGTTTTTTTTATTCAAAAAAGTTGATACGGGTATCCGTCAGGATACGAGTATCGGAAACTTTCAAAAAATTACTAAAAAAATGGAAACTTTTAAAAATTACAGATACGGCCCGGGAACGTACGGTACGGGTATCATAGAGTATCGGATACAGGAACGTATCCGATACGCCGATACGCTACCTTAGGGAAGTATCCGTGCTTCATAGCACTGCACATAAAGAATGAATTAGAGCCGTAGTCAAACACATTTTTTCCATTTTCTTTTCTCTAAAGGTCAATGACTTGTTTTTTCCGTTTTCCCGGATCCTGCTCATTTTCAATTGCATCAAAAACAAATTTCTTTTAAATCAAAGAAATATTTGGAGTATAAATCGAGTCATTTAACTCTCATCATTTTTCTGTACTTGTATTAAGGTTTAAAACTAATGTAATGTTATTCTTACATTTTTAGCTAGAAGCAAATTGTAGTCAGTCATACCTACTTAAATTGACAAAAATTAAAGAAATACGTAGTGTTTAAGATATTATTTTCGATCACATAATTCATATTAAATTATTAAAACAGTAATATGTTAAGAAATTTAGTACTCCGTACTAATAATTTAACAAAAACTTGTTAGTAATACTATCAAAGAATGCACAATAAATTCAAACTTTACAAAATCGTAATACTATATTAGTAAGGAAAACAAAATCAAAATATTAGATGAACTTGATGAATATATTACAAATTAAAAATGTTAAATACTTAAATTAAAATAAAGAATTCAACCTTTTAAAAAAAATCAAAAAACTTACCTAGGGGCTAGGGCAGTGGCGTTCGCCATTCAGCGTCCTAGATGTGTCCTTTTTTGGTGGCAGACATTCTTTAGATTCTCCGAGTATAACCTTCTCCACTTTGTTAATGGTGAACTCTATCGATAACCACACATCATCCACATGTGCATCATTATTATTAGATCATACATCTTCCTCCAACATTTTGTATGCATAACTTCGTTGGAGACCCCCTCAAGCCTCCACGGCTACACCACTTAATCTTTGCCTCTACTTGTACCTTAACTCATTTTCTCTTTTTACCTTGAAAATCAAGCACAAGCATCATATGCTGAGTGACACCACTATCACATGGGATAACCTTACAATCCATTTAACTAGTTTTCCAAGTCATCCGTACTAACAAGTAGTCGATTTGAGTACTATTAGTTCCACTTCTATAGGTCACAAGGTGAGAGTATCTTTCCTTGAACCAAATGTTCATTACAGCCAACTCATATGTCGAGGTAAAATCCAGAATATTCTTCCCTGCATCATTTGTAGTGCCAAAACCATGTCCGTCGTGGATACTCTCAAAACCATCACAACTTCGGCCCACATGCCCATTGAGGCCACCTCCTATGACCAGCTTCTCTCCCCTTGGCACTCGTCGCACCACTTCATCAAGATCTTCCCAATATTGGTGAGTGATAGATGCATCCAATCCCTCTTGTGGTGCATAGGACCTATCACGGACCTGATCTCACCTTCTATTACCAATTTAATGCTCATGATGTAGTCGTTCTTCCTAAATACTTCCACCACACCCAACATAATCATGCGCCACCATAATACATAATCCATTTGTGTTTCTCTGTCTCCCCGAATATCACAACTTATAACCTCCGGATCTAATCTCACGTGCCTTTTTACTAACCCACTTAGTTTCTGCATGCACATTATGCTGATATTCCTCCTCTTCATAACCTCAGTTATCTCAGATGATCTTTCCGTAAGAGAGTCAACATTGCATGTCCTAAAACGCAATCTAGTACTCTGCCTTCTCTTCTTCAAACGCATTTGACCCCCACCAAGCCCTTCCATATTTGACACCATCCCCGAGCATTTGAGTGGTGCGTCGCTTCCGGACGACGACCAACCAACCTTAGCATTTTTATCACTACACCCAGACCTATGAAGTATAGCGCACCCTTGGATATTTGACATCACCCCCAGGCGGAGGGATGACGCGTCGCTTACAGGTGACGACCTAGCTGTAGCGATATTCATATTTCGATTCATGTTATGTGATGTGACTAAGTGATATTGTTGGCCGTCACGTGTCTACCACAACACCCTCCTCCTTTTATTCTGACTTGGGACAGGCATGATACCTAAAATGATATCATGAAATATGTTGAAATTATGTGCGATAAAAAATGGCACAACCCATTTCAACCAAAGAAGTGGAAACAATTCCAACCTGCTTTGTGGATTCAGATGATAAACATAAACAAATACAAGCAAATAAAGCCATAACTATGTACCCCACTACCCCTCCCCTTACTTCATAACTACTAACATAGAAATCATGAGACAAGGCATAATAGTCTAACGGTTCATTTGGCAATTTATATAACTGGAAATGATTGAATCCGGTAAATTACCAGTAAGGAGAAGCGTTTAGTGTCATCCTTTTCGACCAAATAAGAAAAGACAAAAAAAAAACAAATTAATTTGTGCATACCTACAATAAGCAAAATGAGCAAAAACTGGCTACCAATGGAAGCCTATATACTATCGTATCAGTCACAGAACATGCAACTTGACAAGTTCAAAAAAACAAAGGTTCTAAATTTCGAGTCAAATGTATACAACATGCTTACTGCTAGCTCTACTACTTTAGAAGGGAAAAGTTGATTAATAACATGTATATAAATGATCCTATAGCCACCAACTAGACTCTCTTTTAAAAGAATCAGTAATCGAACAACTGAGAAACATGCAGACAGGTCATATAGGAGTCCCACTTTCACTCCTTGTCTCGTTAGGACTATACATAGCAGACCGGTTCCTAGGTCTGTTCTCTTCAAGTTGCCTCACGACTTCTTCCATAGTAGGCCTAACTGTGGCCACAGGAGCACAACACCCCATGGCCAACTTCAGTGCCTGCACAACACCTTCCTCCATCGGACTCCTTATCCCCTTCAATACATCCACATCAAAAACATCCATTGTCCTTTCCTCCAAAACTGCGCCTTTCACCAAAGAGGGCAAATCAGCACATTCCCCATTTCTTCCCCCTGTCTTTCCCGGCTTTTTCCCTAGTAATATCTCCAACAGTAGTATCCCAAAGGCGTACACGTCGGTTCTCGAATTGCAGTTCTTCATCTTTTGAAGCTCGGGTGCTTTGTAACCGTCTGCTTTTGAGAGGGAGAGTATCTGTTCTGATATGGATGGTACCATTATCTTGTCAAGCCCAACTTCAGTGAGCCTGGCTATGAAAAAGTCATCCACAAGAACATTTTGGGACCTGATGTTCCCATGTGTGATTGGTGGTTCTAGAGAATGAAGGTGCTCTAGTCCTCTAGCGATACACAGAGCAATTTTGTGCCTCCTTGCCCAATTCAACATTGGCTTCCCCACCTTTGCTTCTGTAAATAAACATGACACATTCAATCAAAAGCAACCACTATTCTTATTTACATGTTATATATAAGTCCCTCTTGCTCCTCTCAAAAGAAACACAGAATAAGAAAGCCCAGTATTTGACCATAGTACAACCATATAATTTGAGTAAGTTCAACCTACCTGTTATGACTTATGGGTCCACCAATCCTGCATATGCTCTTAAATTTCACTAGTTAGTTTACCAACACTTAGCATTGTTTTTTAAATGTTTAATTACTAGGAGGTAGTCAGACCATGGTCTGTCACCTACCCTGCCTAACGGTGCTTAAGCCTCCCTCTCCTTTTATTTTTCTTTTTAATGTTTTTTCGTTTTTTAATAAATAAAGTTTGTCTTTTGGGGAAGAAAAGCTCATATTATAATTCTTAAATGATACAGAGTATTCTTGTTGTTGTATAATACAGAAATAGCACCTCCATCCCTAAAAAATCTTATTTGACTAATCTACAACATTTGATTTTTTCCAAGTTACAACTTTCAAAGATCGCGACTCATGCTTATAGTTTTATAAATTATCATATTCTTAATTTATCATATTAATTTGTCTCAGTCTTTTCTAGCTAGTTTTTGAGGATCTACAGGAAAAATCCTTTTTGGGACAAAAACATACATGAAGCGTGACTTCTTTGGAACTATGGGATCAGTAATAATAAAGTAATTCATAGAAAACTCGGAAATGAAATGTGAAGTTTGTGTTCTTTCGTCAATAAAATATCACATACGAAGTATATATATTTGCAAAAGTTCTATCTTTACTGTAAAAATAGTAATAACAATATTAATAGAAATAGAATGACCCAAACAATGTGGGGTTTAGCGCTTCCTTGATTGAAGCATGGCATTGAGATCTACCGTCGTTTTTTGTGGTACTTCCATATTTTCAGATTCTCACCTCATTGCTCCAACAATGATGTTTGGATTCCTTAAATAATGGCATTTTATTTTTATGAAAATGCAACAGGTAAAGAGGGAAAATATAGAACACAAACAAACTGCTAGGTAAAGGGTCATTACCATGTAAATGAGCAAAGAGGGTTCTGTTAGGCAGATAATCATAAATGAGAAGCTTCTCCCCTTTCTTCCCCTGATAGAAAGCTCTTAAAGGAACCAGATTCTCATGGCGAACCCTCCCCAACAGCTTAATCACTGGAAAACAACAACTCATATCCTGACAACTCCCTTCTCTCAATAACCTCAACACAATGTTTCCCCCATCAGCCAACTTTGCCTTATAAACAGTTCCATAACTACCCTTCTCCATCACCTGCCCAGTTGCATTCAGAACATCCTCCAATGTCAAATGCTCCCCTCCCTGGAACACAATCAGCTTCCCTTCCCCGCCATTTTCATCAAAATCTTCTTCCTCTTCTTCTTCCTCATTCACATTCCTTCTCTTCTTCTTCCCTTGAAAATACCCAATCAACAAAGAGACCAAAACCACTGCTCCAGCCATCAATCCGATCACTATTCCAGCAGTAATTCCAGGGGTCAATCCGGAATTCCTAGCACATGGTTTCATAGGCTTCCCACAAAGCTCCGGGCTGTTCTTCTCGAAAACCTCCGACCCATATTTCTTTGGGTCGAAATTAGGCAAAACCCCACTGAAGTTGTTGTAGGAGAGATTCAACTTATTAAGCTTCATCTCGCTTAAGCTGGGAGGGATTCGGCCCGAAAGGTGGTTATTAGCTAGGTCAAGCTCTATTAGCCCGGTAAACATCGTCACGAACTCCGGGAAGTTCCCGGAGAGTGAATTTTGACCTAAATCGAGAACCTGCAAGTTCTTACAGGTAACATTGGGCAAAGCGGGCTGTGGGACAGAACCTGAGAGAGAGTTACCGTGAAGTTGAAGCAAAACGAGACGCTCACAGAGATTCCAGATAGATACCGGAAGAGGTCCGGCGAACGAATTGTGACTCAACTCAACTTCAGAGAGAGAAGAGGTGTAGCCAAGCTCGAGAGGGATGGTCCCAGAGAGGGAATTCACTCCAAGGTAGAGACTACGAAGCGCAGTGAGCTCTGAAATCTCTTTCGGGAGAATCCCGGAGAGATTAGCCGAAGGGAGTTGGAGAGAGACGAGGTGGACAGAAGGGTCTTCGTGGAGCGAGAGACTGCCCCACTGCGGGGAAGAGATGGAATCGCAGAACAATGAAGTCCCATTGGTGAAGACCCACTTGAGGCCTCTCCATTGACAGAGAGGGATTGAAGTGTTCCATGAGGATAGCATCAAGTTCTGTGTGCTCCCCTGCAACGAGGGTTTGATTTTCTGGAGAAGAATTTCAACATCAGAAGTTGGAGGAGGCAAAGATGTGGACGAACTCGCAAGGTGAGTGAAGAAGGCAATGCAAATGCAGAGAAGCTCCAGAAACTCCATGGAAAAGAGCTAGCAGAAGAGAAAGAAAGAAAGAAAGGCAGACTGAAAAAGGAAGTGTGATGGTGGGAGACAGGAGTGGAGAGCCGTTTTGAGAGGAAATGTTTCCAATCTAAAGCGCCCACGTGTCCCGCTCCTATAGTAATTAAATAATGGTAGATGTACTGCTGTAAATTCCACCTCAAACTTGGTATTGTATTTAATTCTTTTTTATAAAAGAAGTAAATTTGGTATTGCACTTATTTCAACTCAGGTGTTAATTAGGGTAGACATGATTGAGTTCGAACGACAAATTTTCATGAACCGCTAATTATATTAAGTTGGTAAATTCATACCTAAAATAGCAAGTCTTGTAATAGGAATCATACTTACTCATCCTATTTGAGATGAACCCTAAAAGAGAAGGTTTTCTTTTGATTTGTGATGGATAGTCTACCCGGGGGTATATATCCGAAGGGTTATTACGGGGAATAACTTAGAGAGAAGTCAGAGCAAGTAAGTAAAAGTAGAGAGAGAGTGTATTCAGTATGAATGCCGTTTTCAGCGTGGTTACAAATGAGGAAATGGGGTGCTATTTATAGTAGCAATAAATGCCGGGCAGGGACACGTGTCAAGCGCTCATTGGCCGAGGGGTCACCTCAACTGGTTGGCGCTGGCAGCCGCATGTGGCCGCATTTAATGCGGCTGTTGGATGGGACGTCTGTGCGGGGCACGATGATCTGTACGCATGTGAGGCGGATATCTTGTCGAGTGAGATGCCTTCGGCTATAGAGCAGTAGCCGAGGGCTCTTCCACCCGATGGCACCCTGGTGCCGAGGGCTCATAGTGCCGAGGGCTACTGTTTTCGCCGTTTTATCCCAGTTTCTTAATTTGCTTGAGAAACCCGTTCTGTGAGAATTTAGAGCCTTCGGCCGGGGGGCCGAAGGCACCCCTGGCGCGTAGTGCGGGCTGCTTGGTACCCTGGGCGCTGTGATTTGGGCCTGTTGGGCCTTTTGGGCCTGTTGGGCCTTTGCTGGAGTAGTAGGAGTCTGTGGGCCGGGGGTTCCCGGGCCATATACTCCATCAGGAGTCCCTCACTCCTTTTGCCGAAAGGTACTTGAGGGAAAAGGAGTAATTTGTGCTTGCCCTTTGATGTTGTCCCGTCATGATCTCTGAAGTTGGTGAGGAGTTGTTGCTTTTATGTCCCTGCCGAAGGCAGTCCCTCAGTTACCCACATGTCGGGACTTGAGGGCTTGCTTTGTTGTTTGTTGGAATTTCACAGATTTTGTAATTTAATGATTTTCCCGAGGGGGTCCTCCAGTCCCCCACTCCTTGAGGCACTTGTAGAGTGGTGAAAAGGAGTAGAGTAGTTGCGTTGCTGTTGTGGGCCGAAGGCTGACGCTTTTCGTTTCATTTTGGGGGGATGCCTCGTTAAAAACCTCATTAGGAAAAACCCTTTGGGGAAAAAAATCCTAATGAGGGAAAAAGAGTGCACCGAATTCCCCCAATGATGAATCGAAAATGTCAAACCTTGGTAAAAAATGGAGAATGATGGGAATGCCGAAGGCTCTCTCTTCTGAGGGCTCCTGTGTTGATTAGCCGAAGGCTTGCTGTTGATGTCCTGGTGGCGCCGAAGGGGAGCCCCTCAATCCAGGGATCGAGGGCCTGCCAGATGAGGGCAGCAGTGAAGTTGTTACCGGGGGGGTCCACTGTTTGTTGATTAGTTGGTGATGAAGATACCCGAGGGCTCCCATTACCTGGGTCCCATGGGTCATCCGTCAATGAGGCAACTCCCCGGGGGCTACCCGGTTTTGCAGTGCTGAGGGGGAATCCCCGAGGGGTGCCCTGATATGAAGTCCTGGGTTTCTGAAGGAGTGATCCCGAAGGCATCTGTTATGTGTTGTGTGGGGCACAACCCGGGGGCACTTCTGAGTGAGTGTACCCGGAGGCTATCCTTGATGAAGTGGAGTGAAGTAGAAAACCCGGGGGCTTCCAAAATATAGCCGTTGGAAATATTGCCGTTGGAATATGTAACGACGGGATATAGCCGTTGGGGGGGGGGGGGCACACGTGGCGTGTGATGGCTGGCTGTCCGTGGGCGGCGTCACCGGTTGGGCGAAGACGCGGTGTGTAATGATGGCGTCCATCCGGAGGCCCGGAACCCAGGCCCAAGCCCGGATCCCAGCGCCTATAAATACCCCAAGGCCAGAGCCATTTCCTCTTGTGCGATCAGTTGTTTTAGCGAAGCTCTGCCAAAAATTCTAGTGAGAGAAACTCCAGCCTTCGGTCAAAACTCTGCTTTCAAGGTGAGTGCACTGCTCCTCTCTCAAAGTTTTTAGTAAGTTCCGCCCCCTGGCCTTAGATTAGGTTTAGAATCCTGTAGAGAGCCTTTGAAGTCTTAGGCTTATTCGTGATAAAAAATGTCGTCCGAGAGCGATTCCCAGGACATCTCGAGGACGCCCTCGATGGAAGACGAAGGTATCTCCGATGAGGAGTCTAGTAGCAGTCAGCCCTCGGGTGGTGATGCAGCTCTCGCTACCGAGATGCAGAAGGATTTGGCGGCCGAGGTCGAGGCGGAGGAGTTCGAGCGAACTGTCGAAGATGAGGAGTTAGCCCTCGCCGTCCAAGTTGCTAAGGAGGAAGAAGAAAAGGAGAGGGCGAAGGTCACTGTCGCTGTTCTCCCCCCCCTCCCCCCCCCCCCCCCCCCCGGGGGGGGGGGGGGGGGGGTTCTGGGGAAGCCAGTAGCTCGAGGCCGCTGGACCCGACGCCGTTAAGTGTAGCCCCCGGGAAGAAGAGGAGAAAGACGAAGGCTGCCCCCCGGAAGAAAGTAAAGGCCGTCGATCAGGGGGGGCCAGTTGATCTACCGGAGGGTTACTCCTTCCTGGACACCGCCGCTCTGGAGATTAAGTCCCAAGCTGACAGGGCGGACATCTACATCACCCAGTTGCATGTAGGGCCCTCGGCCGTGGTAGTCGAGCCAGGTCCTGATGACGTGCTGTCGCGGCCCCCCGAGGGATGTATAGCCGTGCACGTGCTCTCGGTCTCAATGGACCTCCGGTTCCCTCTCCATCCGTTCCTCCAGGAGTACCTGAGGTACACCGGCCTGGTTCCCTGCCAATTGACCCCCAATAGCCACTCGTACATAACTGGGTTCGTGAACCTGTGCAAACTCCGGGGGGTTACACCGAGCTTGGAGCTATTCTTCCAAAGCTTTAACCTATGCCGGGGGGGGCATGCCAATGCCGAGGGCTATGCGAACTTACAGCAGATAGCCCAGTTCAAATTGTTCACCGAGGCCCCTTCTTCCAACAAGGGGTGGAGAGAGCGATGGTGCTACATCAGACTGGCCGACAGCCCTTTCCTGAGGGAGTTGCGGAATTGCTTTCGGCGTCATGTGAAGGTCAAGAATGCCGCCCTCGAGAAGGATGGCCTGAAGATTGCCGAGATTCCGGAGGGGCGGGATAAGAACATAACCATCAAGGAGTGCATCCTCGAGAAAGACTTGTATGCCCTCGGATTCCTGAGGTATCGGTTCATTGGGGAGACCGAGGAGAAGTATCCCCTCTATGATAAAGCCTTCGTGGGGGCAGGAGGTAGTGGCCGGGGGCTTTACATTTTTGTACTTTGAGATTTTCTGTCATGTTTGTTGTCGTGTCTCGGACCCCTCGGTTCTAACCTTTTAACTTGTTGTTTCTTTGCAGGTAGCAGGATGAATGCCAACGCCCTGTTCGCAAAGGGAAGGGCAAGACCCAGTCGAAGGAGAAGGGGCCCTCGGGCCAGAAACCAGCCGACGCCTTTTTTCCGAAGGTCGTAGAGCCTTCCGCCGGGGACGCCCGTGCTGCTGTGGGGACCGGGGGGTCAAAGGCCGAGGGGGCCGCTAAGAAGAAGAGGAGCGACAAGGGGGTGGAGCCCCCCACCAAGAAGCAGAAAGGCGTCGGGGGTGCTGTCGGGGGGGCGGCCCCCTCATAGTTATTGATGACATGCCCGCTGTTGATGGGCCCCTGGCCTCGGTCCCTCCGAAGGATCCGGTGAATCCCCCCCGGGAGGAATTACCCCGGGAGATCCGTCAGCTCTCCTTTGCCCCCGGCGCTTCATTGATGCACGACACTGCCGAGCCGAAGGCCTTCCTGCGGGGCATCACCTCGAAGATGGACAGGGAAGTCTTCGAGACCTACGACGATGATGCCCTCGAGAACAGGATCCTCCGGTCCTCTCTCACTGTAAGTATCTGCTTCCTTTTTCCTTCTCTTTATCAGTTTAGTATTATTTTTTCCCGAGGAATAATCTAACTCCTTTGATCGTTGTTTGCAGGCCTGCATAGCCCTCGGGGAACAGGCCCGGAGGCGCGAGGAAAGGCGCCTTCACGAGGCCGCCCAAGATGAGAAGATGGAGGTGCTGATCCGCAAGAACTCCGAGGCGGTGAAGCATGCTGCACAGCTGGAGGAGGCCCTCCGGGAGGCGGCGGCGGCGGCGGAGAAGGCCAAGGCTGACGGCATAGCCGAAGGCAAGGTAGAGGCCGAGAGGGCTGCTGCCGAGGCGGCGAAGAAAGCTGCCGATGAAGCCCAAATCGCCAAGGAGGGAGCTGCGGCCGAGGCCCGAAGGGAGGCAGTCGCTGAGTTCCTCGCCGAGGGCTGGAGGACCGAGGGCCACAAGGAATGGGTGGCCTCCGTGGTGGCAGCCTCGGTGGATGCTTGGGTTGAAGGCCCCGGGGTTGACTGGCTGACCGACAGGGGCGACGCCTACTACCAGGGGGGTGAGTTCTTTACCCAGCACCTGATTTACCGGAGGCTCGCCAGGCACTTCGGCGTATCCCTTGATCAATTCGACCCCTCGGCATACGGCCTCCCCCCGCTGCAACCAGACGTGAGAGTTCCCCTCCCCCCGGGCGAAGAGCGGCCGACGATATATGATTCCGTGATGATGGGGGGTGATGGGGGCGGAGCCATCGGAGGGGATGCTGGCGATGAAGAAGTCTCCTCCAAAGCTGCCGTGGAAGGTGCCCCCGGGGACAACGATGTTGAAGCCGCAGAGAAAAAAAATTGTACTTAGCTAGTATCTAAAACTTTTGTTGTAACGGACACCTCTGATCCTTCGGCTTCGGCCTGT